ACATCTCTATCCATGGAAGATTGTAGAGAACCTTGGAGTTGAAGATAGTTAGATTCGAGAGGTTTCTAATTTCTTGAGGATGCTTCCGCTGAAATCATTATATCCAAGGCCAAGATGGAGCAAATTGGAGAGATTTCCAATTTGATGAGGAATGCTTCCATTGGGATCATAATTATTTCCAAGGTTAAGATAGATTAAATTGAAGAGACTTCCAATTTGATGAGGAATACTTCCTTCAAAAAAATTGCCTCCCAGGTCAAGATAGATCAAATTGGAAAGATTCCATAAATGAAGAGGGGCTGCTTCCAACAAACCAAGCATGAGACAGGTTAAGATATGTCAAGCTAGCCATTGAACCAAGAAAGCAGGAATTTGCATATCACCAAAATCATTACCACTCAAGTCTAGGTAATTCAAATGCTTCAAATCAAGCACAGAAGAATGTAACTCACCACCAAACTTTGATGTCTCATATAACTCTGAAGGAGTTGTGAGGTGAAGCTCAAGAATGTGGCCTGTGATGTTGCTGCAAACAACGAACTCCCAGTTGCAACAATTAATTCCATAGGGAGACCAGAAGCAAGCTTGTTTGAAGGATCTGAGAGATGATGCTTCAGCTTAAGCAAGGCCTCTCGCTCACTCGGAATGCACTGAGCCTCAAAGGTTGCACTGGAAATGCATAAATCAACATTTGCTAAGGTAAGCAACCAAAGAAAAATAAATAGAACATTAATATTGCAGGAACCATCCATCCTGACAACATCAATCAAGGTTTTTCGCTCACAAATGTTATGATCTTGTCATGGATACTTTCAAGGCAATACAATTCTCAAAAGAAGAGAGCTGTGTATATATAATGTCACTTGTGGATCTTTGTGGGTTTCATTGGACATAAATTCACGTGGATCATCATAATTTTTTAAATATATATATTGGCTCCAAAAAACAATTTTAATTTTGTGTGTTTGTTGCAAAAGAAGTATTTTCCTATTTCTTTCTCTCATTTTTTAAGCCTGATCGGATATATGAGTCAGTGGCTCAATTGATATTCAATAATCACTTTCTTAAATGAATATCAAATTATGTTAATTTTAAAACAACATTCTTGCCAAAAATTTTAAGATTAAATTATATTTGATTTATTTTGTTTTAAGATTCTATTCAGTTATATTTCCATATTCATTGCAAAAATTTCTTGTTGCATAATTTTTCATAATGTAATAAGCAAACATATCCACCATGCCATAAAAAAGGGAAAAAAACTTGTAAATAATCTTTAAATCATCATTTATTTATCTGAACATTGATTTCTTTTTTGCCTTGCACTCAACCGTTTTAATTTAAGAATATTTTTATATATTATAAAAGATGTTTAAATTATATATTAAAAACTTTTGATTTAAAAAATGTGTCATATGCACACCGAAAATCTTGTCTAACTATATATATATATATTCTTTTTTTTATAGACTATATACATATATATTCTCATTGAACATTATAAAGTTGAATGATAGAATGTTAATTTCAGCCATCCTTCTTTTTTTTGTGATGATTTTTTTTCCTAAAAACAAAATTAATAAAGAGCCCCCCACAAACAATATATATATAATATATATATATATATGTAGTCAGTCATAATTAACGTGTGGAACGGGCTTTCTACTCAGAAAAGTCTTGTTTGATTGATATTCCTTGTCACAATTAACAACTGTACTGTACCCTTCACACAACTGAATAACGTGATGATAAACATTTTAAATAGGATGAATATTTTACTTAAAGAGCATTAATTAATTAATCAGTGTCACCCAATCTAACTAGTATTGGGTACATGCTTTTCTTTTCTTTCTTTTTTTTGCAGAACCATAAAATATCATGAAAAATCATAAACTTTACAAAGATAAATAAAATACAACGAACAAAATAAAAATAAAAAAACAACAAAACAAAAAAAAAACTTAAATTCAATACAAAGCAGTACAAAGAAAAGAAACATAGCACCATAATTATTCTAAGCCTGACAGTTTTATTCTTATATAAACAATAGTTACGATTCAAATAATATATTAATCGTCTCCAGGTATCATTTTTAACTTTATAGAATAAGGAATAAAAGGAGAGATAGATAAAAGGAAAAGCTATTAGTAGTTTCGTAATATGTTTTGTTTGACACATGAGGAAAGGTCCAGGAAGTTGCTAATGAATATCAGGTCATGTGACTGACAGGAATGTCAAGTTTTTTCTTTTTCAATGTTATTTTATTATTTCATTATTTTTTATAAAATATAAAATTTTTTCCTTCTTTCTTTAAATGATAAATTTCAAAAAAAATTTACAAATATCTAGTATTTCAAAATATTTAAATCGCTCAACAACAGTGCTGGGTAGCTAACGACAAGCTTATAGCAATAATAACTCAATCAGAGGATTGGATATTTCTTAATAATTAATGTTGGCAATTCCGGCAAGTCACAAATAGACTTGAATCCGGATAGGGCTGACTCTTTAAAAATCCTAAATAGTTAAGTCCAACCCAAATTTCTTCTGGTTGTTTTGGCTTCGAGTAGCCCAAATTTTAAATTTTATTTTTGAAATTATTTTTTTATTAAATTTTGTGCTTTAAAATTAATTATTTTATTATAAAAAAATGTAAAATATGTATTTTGGATACTTAAACAATGTATAGGATTCAAAATTTTTTTAAACAATATATGGTCCTTAAAATATAAAATTAATAAAAAAATATATTTTAAATATTATTTTGAATGTCTTATAAATTAAAAATAATAAAAATATGAAAATATAAATATTTTTAATTTTTAAAAAATATCTATAGTAATGCACTTAAATATTTATTACATTATTATAAAATGACCTTCAACTTAAAAAATTACTTAAATTTTATTACATTTTATATATTTTTAAAAATATAATTTTTATTAAGGTATTTGAACTAAGCCCAAATCAGGCCCATTTGCTTGAAGAGGCCCAAACATTAAAAAAATTATCATTTTGCCAAACTAAATTTGAATTACCAGCTCTATAAATAATATCAAGCTCACATCTATTTCTTGTCATAAAAAAGGATTAAAGACTGATTAAGGAACTTTTTTTAAGGTTAAAAGGAGTAGATATTTTATTAAAAAATATTTTTTTTGATTTTATATAAAGTACAAAATTTTATATATGATTATAATAATAAAAAGTGATTATTATTTAATTATTCTTAGATTTGTGAATTTTTGTTTAAAAATATTTTTTTTATTTAATCATTTAAAAATTTAATGATATTTTTATGTATCAATGCGTTTGTATGACATTCTATCTCATATATCATATTACATTATTTTTAAAACTATTTAAATTAGATTCTTAAAATGTTAAAAAAATTTGTTTCTTTTCATATTCTGATTATATTCAAAATTTTAGATAGAAATTATAAAATAATTTTTTAAAAAAAGAATAATTAATTTTTTTGTATAAAAGTTTAAACAAACAAGTCTAAGTGCCATATACATATATCTATATATATTGTCAGACATATAATTACGTGTGGAATGAGCTTCCTTTTTTGGATTGAAGTGTGGAATGGGCTTTCCAAGTAAAAAATTCTTCTCTAATTATTTTCTTCCTTCAAACAATGAACAGTCTCTTACATAAGTTAAGAATTTGTTTTTAAGAAAATCTATTTAATTCTTTTCGAAGACACTTGATCATTAGTAGTTATTATGTATTACTGATTAGAATAATGGCATGTTATGGTTTGGTCCTCTGTCATGCATGTTGCATGTGAAAAAATATAGGCACCTAATTAATGAAAAGAGCAATAAAAATAAAACATAAGAAATTATATTTATATATTTTTTTATGTAATGGAAAGGAAATTTATTTTCATCGATCAAGTCCAAATGATTTTTTTCCTTAAAGACCTTCGATGTAAGGGTAACAAACAAATCCTATTTAGATATAAAGAAAAATTTTCCTTGTTATAAAGGATGTTCAAATTATGTAGTCAATCCTTTTACTTTAAAAATATGCCAAAATACAAATAATTTCAACATAACATTGAAGTACCTCGCCAAATATCATAAACACATCTACATTATCAATAATCATTTAGAGAGTAAAATGTATGTGGGAATTGCACAATTTACTAGCAAATAAATAAAAAAGAAAAAAGAAAATTCATCTCAATTAATCATTGTGGACCATTCTAGACAGGCTTGCTTGTAAGAAGTAGACTAAGGACAAATTAAGAGCCATATAATTAGTCACAACTTGTGGAATGGGCATTCCAAAGGAGAAAATTCTTCTCAAATCATTTTGATATTTCCCATCCTTTTCCTATTACTTTGGTCCCAAAATTCAAATTTCCCAAACTTGAATAGTAAACGAATGAGACTATTTATTATTTAAAGAAAAGAAGTTGTTAAAGTATGTGTTGGAGAACATTCTTTTATAGTCATAATCTAACTCTATGAAGTCTTTTATCGTAATTGACTTATTATTTTTGTGCTTGTTATAAACGCCAAAGTTAAATTCTTTTTTATGCTTAATTCTACTTTTTAAAGTCTTTGATCGTTGACTTAATACTCTTGTGCTCCTGAATAACCATAAAATCATACAACTCCACAAAATGTTACTGCAAGTATAATATAACTATAGATAGTGTTTGAATTGATAAGTTTAAATTTTAATTTTAGATTAAAAACATCACATTTAAAATCCTTTTTTTTGTATAATGTAAATAATTTCAAGATATGAGAAAAACAAGCTAATATTCAAAGCAAAAATAGAAGATTTAGAATAACAAGTTTAACTCTATTTTTAATTGGTGAGACATGAGAGAAGAAAGGCAAGTGTAACAGAGGCCTCAACAATAAAAATGAGATGGCCTAAGTAGTTGAAATTTCAAATAAATAAGGTCTAAAAAAAATTTAAAATTACAAAGAAGTTAAAATAAAACATGGATCCAAATTCATAGACATTTTTATGTATCTAAATGAGAGATTGGGTTGAAATCAAAATCCAAATCCTCATGTATCCCAACACACCCTTAAAAGACTGATCAAATTACTCACAATATAGCTCTGCCAAGGCCTTTGTTGCACCCTTGGACTTGCTTCTAATTTTCTAATTGTGTCTATATCAATGATGACAAACAATTTCAAAAACATGATTTATATCTTAACCCCCCCCCCAAAAGCCCACGCACACAAACCATTTGATAGCCAAATCAAACCTCTTCATGGTTAAATTTTTTTTTAAAAAAAAGATCAGATTGCTAGACATTTACTGCAAAAACAAGAAGGTAATAAACGCTTAAGAATATGAGAATATATTTACTGCAAATTTAAGGAACTAAAAAACACTTTATAAAGTTTAGGAGTTAAAATAAAACATTATGTAAAGTTAAAGGACTAAATATATACTTTAGCCTTTAATTAGTTAATGACCGTGATATGATGGTCCATTTTTTTCAGCAAGATGAGGTAAATACTATTATTCAAAGTAGGATTATAAAACAACATTGGTTAACAAAGTGGGCACGCACTAGGCCGCCAATATAGCTATACATAAATTTGTAACAAATGAAAGGAATTTAAAAGGTTGATCAACTATATAATGTATAAATTAAGATAGGAATAAAAACGAAAAAAATAATAAAAATCAAATTAGTTCTTTTTGGAGCCACATGATCATTAATTCGTTATTATATTGTGCATTAGTTGTTAGAGCAATGACAATTCAACACGGCATTTTTATTAAAAGTTTTGTCAACTTTTAAATATGAGAAATGAAAATTAGAACATAATAAATGATATTTATATAAATTTTATACATATAAGAGGAAATTTATTTTTAAGGTGGGGGCACTCTATACATGTTTGTATTCAAGAAGTTGATCAAAGACTAAGTCACAGCCTCATAAGTAGTCACAACGTGTGGAATTGGCTTTCCAACTTCTTTTTCTATTATTTTTGTGATATATATATCCATCCGTGTTATACTTTTGTCCAAATATTTAAATTCTCCACACATGATGTTAATGAAAGATACTATTTATTATTATTTGAAAAAATAAATTGTTAAATTACATGCCGTGGAAAATTATTTTGTTGTCATAATCTAACGTTGTAAAGTCTTTCATAATTTACTCATTATGGTCATGCGCATTAAAAACTACAAAATTAATACAAACAAAATATTCTAAGTTCATAAATGTATTGTTTTTGAAGTGTTTTGTCATTGACTTATTACTTTTATGCCCTTCAATAAAGGTAAACATATACTCCCTTTGTTTATATATATATAAGCGAGAATAATTGTATTTCACATTTTAAAAAAATTGATTAACTATAACATTTGTATAGACTAAAATACCCTTGTATAGAATCAAAATAAGACTTCCTTAATTATTTATCGTGAATGAAAATTATATTTTATGAGGGGTAGTTCAAAAAAATTGTAATAAATGCTTATTGAGATATGCAATTTTGCTTATAAAAAAACAAAATAATAAGTGATATTTTTTCTTTTATATATAAAAACGGAGGGAATACACACACAATCATAGAATCCAATGATAGGTTACATTCAAGCATTGTGATTTATATTGCACTAGTTACCAGAAAATAAAGTAGAAAGAAAACAAAATTCTAAGGAAAAAATTCATCTCAAATCTTTTTGGACCATTCTATACATGTTTGCTCGAAACAAGATGACTAAAGACTAATTAACAGTCATATAATTAGTCGCAACTTGATATTTCTCCATCCATTTGCTAGTACTTTGGTCCCAACTTTCAAAATTTCCACATTTGAATAGTAAATGAATGAGACTAATGAGTTGTTAAATTATATGTCATGAAAAATTCTTTTATACTCATAATCTAACTTTTTAACGTCTTTCATGACTTATTATCTTCTTACATGTTACAAACGGCAAAGTTGAGTTCTTTTTTATGTGTAATTAAAAAAAATTATAGGGAAAATCATACAGAGGTTCCATACAATAACTCTAATAGTCAAAAAGTTGCACGAAATGTGAAAATAATTTTAAAGTCCATGAGCTTTAATTGTAAATAAGCTTTTATGTGCATTTACCAAAATGCCCTTACTTACTCTACCTTTCATCTTCCGTCATCTCCTTCTTTCTAAGGCCACCACCGAGGAAGACACGACGTCTGGCAGCTAGCGTTTGGCGGGCTCAGAGGCAAGCGTGGGAATGGAATGGGATGTCTTGCGGAAGCATTAGCAAGCCGAAAAATAATAAAATGAATTAACAAAAACAAACAGCAAACAAATAATCAATGAATATATATATTTTCTCAAAATCGATACAGTAGAGTAGCCAAGAGTTCATAGTGCAGGCTACAAGAGAAAAGGAAAGAATAATGAAAGCTTCAAGCACCAGAAGGCAGCGAAGGTGACCTAAGAAAATTGAAGGAGATGAAAGATAAAGTTAGAAAAACTTATTTACAATTACAATCCATGGGTCTTCAGAATATTATTTTTACATTTTGTGGGACATTTTAGCAATTTTAATTCTTGTGTGGGACCTCTGTTTTATTTTCCCTTTTTTTTTTCCAAGTCTTTGATCATTGTCTTAAAGCGCTTGTGCATATCAACAACAGAACGTATATGTAAAATCATATAGCTCCACGAAAATTAAAGGTACTCCAAATCATCATTAATTTTCAATATAAATTATAGTTAGTGTTTGGATGGATGAAATTGAATTTTAAATTTAAAATATCACTTTTAAAATCCGTGCATTTAAAATATTTTATTTGAATAGTGTATAAAATTTTAAAGATAAAAAAGAGACAAGCTAATAATATTTGAAGCAGAAACGGAAGGTTAAAAATTGACGAGCTTAACTTTATTTTTAAACTAGTGAGAGACGCAGAAAAGAAAGAGAGGAGATGTAAGAGTAACAAAAGTATCAAAAATAAAAACATGAAAAAAAATGAGAGTGCCAGTATAGTTGGAATTTCAAATGGTTAGAATTTAGAGAAAATTTAAAATTATAAAGAAATTATAAAATATGAATATGGATTTGGGAAAAAAATGAGAGTGCCAATGTAGTTGGAATTTCACAGTGTGTGGAATGGGCATTCCAAGGAGAAAAAGTGTACAAGTATGTGCTGTAGAAAGTTTTTTTGTCGCCATAATCCAATCTTGTAAAATCTGTCCTAATTAACATGTTATTTACGTGCGTGTTAAAAATGGCAAAGTTGCAAATTCCTTTTTTAGTTGTAATTCAATTTTTTTTAGTCTTTTGTGCTGGACTTGTTACATATACATATAAATAAAATCATAAAATTTTGTGGAAATTTACTCCATGCACCATAATTTTTGAAACTTTTCAATAAAAGAAAAACTTTAAAAGGTTGATCGAACAAATAATGTATAAAGTAAGAAAAATATAAAAACAAAAAACATTTTTTTAAAAAAATCAAATTAATTTTTCTTGAAGCCAGGCTAAATGATAATTTGTGTATTGGTGGTTAGAATAAAGGCCCATCATCTAATTGATAACTCTGTTATTTTCTCAAATGCTGTATCCATGCAAGTTGGGATGTCTATTTCATAAAACATTAAAGCTAATTAGTCACATACTAAAAATGAGCAATATTCATAAATTAGGACACAATGAATGATATTTATATAATTTTTATGAATAAGAGTAATCTTATTTTCATTCGTATATAGGGCCCAAATTTTTTCATGAAAAACCTCCATGTAAGAATAGCAAAGAAATCCCGCCTGTATTTGATTATATATTGTTTTTCTATTATAAGAGATATTCAAATTATATATTCGATTCTTTAATTAATCTTATTTTAAGAATATGCCATCATAATATTGATTTCATCTTAACATGTAAGTAGCTGGCCAAAATTATTCTTTTATCCACTTTGTACTATATATATATATATATATTATTAGTATTCATTGTAAAATTACTCACTCATCTTTTCCATTCTTTTGAATATAATTAAAAAGAGGCATCTAATTGTATAGTCATTCAACTTAAAAAATTGCGTTGTGATTGCAGAAAATTTTTCATAAGATTCGTTATCAATATTCTAAAGATGTTCGTACCTAAGAAGATGATTAGAGATTAATTGAGAGCCTCATAATTCGTCACAACGTGTAGAAGGGGCTTTCCAACTTCTTTTGCTATTAATTTTGTCCGAACATTTAATTTTTTTCACGCAAGAATTGTTAATGAAAAATACTATTTATTTTTATTTGGAGAAAAGAAATTATTAAATTACGCGCTGCGGAAAATTTTGTTGTTGTCATAATCTAACATTGTAAAGTCTTTCGTAATTGACTCATTATCGTCATGAACATTAAAAACGTCAAAATTACAAACATGGTTTTTTAATGCCAAATAAATTGTTTTTAAAGTCTTTTGTTATTGACTTATTACTTTTGTGTCCGTCAATAAGGGCAAACAATATATATATATATATATATATATATAAATCATAAAATTCAATGAAAGGTTATATTCAAGCACTGTGATTTTTTTAAATTTGTGATAAAAGAACTTAAAAACTCAAATAACTTAGAAAGATCAAAGATATTGAATTTAGTTATGATTCGATAAAAATATTTTCTCTCAACTATTTTTATCTTATGGATAGTTGCTGCGTAGATTTGTGGTTACAGGGAATATCTGAAATTATTACCATCATATTTCAGATTTTCTATCATACTAATTCTTAATAGACTCAACTATAACAAAAATAAACACACCAGATAAAATAAGAATGTTACAAGCAAAGTTTTTTAAAGTTATCGACTTTGTTTGGTCAAAAAGTTATCAGCTTTAACTCGTGAGAATTATAATAGATATTTAAGAACGAATTTAATAAAATTATAATACATGAATGAAATTAATTTTCTCTCCATTAGTTGCCATGGACAACCATCAAACCAATTCTAGAGAATGTGGAGTGATACATCAAAAAGGCCCAGATCAGAGTGTGTTATGTTTAGTTCAATATATGCGGATTGATCTTAGATCTTCACGCAGTGGGATTCAAACTCACAACCTTGTGAGTTATGGACAAATCCTTATCAATTGGATCAGCCTCTATTAGTAAATTAAATTCTTTTTGAAACCACGTGATCATTATTGTGCATTTGCACAGTTACTGGTTTGTGAGATGTAGTATTGCTTACTCAAGGCTAATGCATTGAATAGATTTGGTTTCATTATTATACAGATGTTAGATTGGAGATCACGAAATTGTTCATAAATGCATTAATAATTTAGGTTTGGAGCCTTTTATAAATTCATGTTAATTCTTAAAAGGTAATTTATGAAATAAATACATAAATGTGTTTCCTTTGGTGTTATCTTTAATGCATCTATTGGAAAAAGACTCATTCATCACATGGAATACGTTATACAATGATGCAATATCCATAGTTCAATTAAACAATACCTGTCAAAGAATTTATTTATATCAATTATCTCATCATTGAAGAGCATATATAATATGATTACAAGATAGATAAACCGCTGATCTTCTAAAGACACCAACTTTCCAAGTCCAAGTTTGCCTTAGCTTTCTCACCAGTACCAACAAGATTGCAATTTGTACCACATGTTATTGATGAATTTGAAATAAACATACCTCCACGACCTACTAAAGGGCAAAGGACCCACCACAGCCCAAAATCCCACAATAAATCCAAATGCCATGCTCACAAAGAACCAATTAATTCCATTCACATGGTCAACTTCTTGGTGTTTGCCATTAGAGCCGTTTGATGTACAATTGATGGTGAGCGGAGGACCACACAAATCATTGCCAGCAAAATTTGATGCTTCAAAGCTTTGCAATTGGGTCCCTGTTGGAATTTTCCCCTTCAAATTATTGTAAGACAAATCTAGGAAGCTTAGAAAGCTTAATTCAGACATGCTCGACGGGATTTCACCTGAAAGATGATTTCTTGAAAAATCCATAGACTCCAATGATTTCATATTGCCAATGTTTTGAGGAATTTGGCCAATAAAAAGGTTATTTGAAAGGTTCAAAAAATGGAGTCCCTTAAGTGCTGTGATTTCTGTCAGTATCACTCCAGATAATTCATTACATGAAAAGTCCATGCTGATGATAAGACCAAGGATGGTGCTGTAAACATAAACTCTTCCTTTCAATACTAGCTCTTCAACTATCAATAGTGAATCGGCATACATGTCTGGAAAAGAAATGGATGACTCTAAACTACTATTAATCACCAACATAGCACTCAAATGCTTGACACATTTTGGTATTTGTCCTGTCAATTCATTTTGTGCAAGGTCCAAAATTTGTAAAACACTCATGCCACAAAGTTGACGTGGAATTGGACCACAGAATTTGTTCGATCTAAGAACAAGAATCCTCAAATTTGACAACCTTTGTCCAACCCATGATGGAATCCTTTCTGAAAATTGATTCATTCCTAAATCCAAGGAAACTAAGTTGCTCGTGTTCTTTAAAAAGGTAGGAAAGTTTCCAAAAAGATTATTATTGCGAAGGTTCAATGTTTCCAACCAAGGAAAGGATCCTATGGATATGTTTAAGATCCCAATGAAATTGTTGTTCTCTAAGTTCACTGTTTGAAGATGTCGCCATGTCATCCAGCAATCAGGTATTTTACCTGATAAATTATTTGATGCCAAATTAAGAAAATTTAAGAATCTTGTCTCCTCTTGTTTATGACACAAGAAATGAGCAATCGATCCTGAACCAATTGCTTGAAAGGTCTATGTACACTAGATTTTGTGGTGTATATGGTAATTGGCCATGTAACTTATTTGAGCTTAGATCAACAACATGGGGAAAAGTTGTGTTTCTTCGCATATTCGAAAGCTCTCCTTCAATATGATTGTGAGAGAGATTCAAATACTCAACATTATTGCCTATTGTGTCCCAAAACCAAGTTGGAAGAGAATCAAAAATCTTTGTATCCGAGATGTCCAAAAAATAAAGATGGTTTAGTGATTGAATCCATGAAGGAAAGTGGGGACCTAAATTCCAAGAGGCCAAACTTAAACTCTGCATGAGCTAAAAAGGAGGACTCCAATTTGGACCTACTTGTAAAGTGAATTGATTTTTTGATGATAAGAATATTCACAATTGGGTAAAATTAACAAGGTGGGCTTCTTTGATGACTCCTTGAAAGAGATTTTGTCCCAAATAAAGGCCATTCAGTTTAGAGAGTGATCCTAGAATTTCAAAAGGATTTCCATCAAGTTGATTGTTTGTGAGATCAAGAAGCATTAATGATGTTAAATTTCCCAACCAGCTAGGAAATGCACCATGAATAGCATTGTCGTGAAGAGAAAGACATATCAAAGATGTAAGATTTCCTAAGGAGCTAGGAAGTTCTCCTTTAATGGAATTATTACCTAGATTAAGGTACTTTAGAGATGCAAGATTTCCCAATGAGCCATGTATGGGACATTGAATGGAGTTGAAAGAGAGATCAAGTTCAATAAGATTTTTGAAAAGATCAATCTGGTTAGTGAGATGGCCAGATAATCTAGCACCAGCCATATAAAAAATTTCCAATGCTTGTGAAGCACATCCAGAAAGGATTTTTAATATTTTAGAAATTTGTTGGTTGAGCTTATTGCTTGAGAAAGACAATGTTTTCAAGTTGCAAAGATTTCCCATTAAAATTGGAATTAGCTCTTCTAAAAGATTATCACTCAAATCAAGGGTAACAAGAGAAGTCAAGTTTCCAATGTTACTAGAAATTGTGCTAACCAAATAGTTATAAAAGAGAATGAGAGACTTTAAATGACTAAAACTGTATAACCAATCGGGGATGGAAGTGTTGAACCGATTTTGGGACAAATCAAGATGTTGAAGGAGTGTTAAGTTTTGAATGCCATTTGGGATGGAACCTGGAAAACCATTATCATATAATTGAAGATGAACCAAATTTTTCAATTGAAATATCCATTTTGGGATCAATGAACTGCCAAAGTACCAACCAGAAATACTAAGGACAATTAAAGATGAGAAGTTTGAGTTGGATGGTTGAAAATGATTATTAAAATCACAGCCTGACAAATGCAATTCTCTCAAGGTGGGAAGTGAATCTAGAACCTGTAACCAATCAAAGGTATTGGATAGGTTTACATGAATGAGCTCAAGATATTGGAGAGAAGATAGAGTAGAAAGCCAATGAAGATTTTCAATAGATGTTGAGAATACATCTCTATCCATGGAAGACTGTAGAGAACCTTGGAGTTGAAGATAGTTTAGATTCGAGAGGTTTCCAATTTCTTGAGGAATGCTTCCGCTGAAATCATTATATCTAAGGCCAAGATGGAGCAAATTGGAGAGATTTCCAATTTGATGAGGAATGCTTCCATTGAGATCATAATTATTTCCAAGGTCAAGATAGATTAAATTGAAGAGACTTCCAATTTGATGAGGAATATTTCCTTCAAAATGATTACCTCCAAGGTCAAGATAGATCAAATTGGAAAGATTCCATAAATGAAGAGGAATGCTTCCACTAAACCTAACATGAGATAGGTTAAGATGTGTCAAGCTAGCCATTGAACCAAGAAAAGTAGGAATTTGCATATATCCAAAATCATTGCCACTCAAGTCTAGGTAATTCAAATCCTTCAAATCAAGCACAGAAGAATGTAACTCACCACCAAACTTTGATGTCTCATATAACTCTGAAGGAGTTGTGAGGTGAAGCTCAAGAATGTGGCCTGTGATGTTGCTGCAAACAACGAACTCCCAGTTGCAACAATTAATTTCATGGGGAGACCAAGAGGCAAGCCTGTTTGAAGTATCTGAAAGACGATGATTCAGCTTAAGCAAGGCCTCTCGCTCACTTGGAAGGCATTGAGCTTGAGAGGATGCACTGCAAATGCATAAATCAACATTTGATAAGGTAAGCAACCAAAGAAAACCAAGCACAACAATATTTTTATTGCAGGAACCATCCATCATGACAACGTCAGGCAGACTTTTGTCGCTCTCAAATTTTCGGAGCTAATGGTGGATGCTTTCATGGACATAAATTCTTGGAAGAAGATCCAGTATTTATAATGTCACTTGTCAACCTTTGTGGGTCTCACTTGACAAAAATTCATGTCGCTCATCACAATTTTTTCTAAAAAAACTAATAATTATTTGGCTCAAAACAACAAATTTTAATTTTGTTTATTTGTTGCAAACGAAGTATTTTTCCTATTTCTTTCTTTCTTTCTTTTAACCTGATTATCTATGACTATATGAATGTATCGCTCAATTAATATCCAATAATCATCCTTTTAATTAATGAATGCTATCAAAAGATGTTACTTTTTAAATAATGACACTACTGTTGAAAATAACAAAACTATTCTTAATAACTCTAAATGAAAACTACATTAGAAGACCCAAAAAAGCATAAATAATTAAAATAAAGTTTTTAAAATTTGATTCTTAGCTTAATCTTCAAGTATGCCCATACTCTTATATCCAAAATAATCTTCATTAATATCTTCTAAATTTGATTTAGAAAATTTGCACAAATAAAATAAAATTAAATAGTAGCAAAAATGTCAAAGATATCATTTATATTTTAAAATTAATAAAAACTAAATTTTACAATAAAGTGCAATCTAAATCATTTCTTTAAGAGTCAATAAATTAACTACTCAAATTGAGATTATAAAAAGCTAAATAGTGGGAGGATTTTGTATGAAAAAATTAATTTAAAAAAACTAAATTAAAATTAAATAAATAAAGTAAATGCAACTGAAAAAATTATCAAGAAAAAGCAACCCAATCAATTACAACCCCTCTTCTAAACTTAATCTTCCTCATCCACAAAATAAATTAAATTTATTTAACTTTTTTATTTTGATTTTATTATATATTTCTCAATTTATCATTTAAGAATTAAATAAGAAATTGAACTTGGATCAATTGAAATCTTTCATAACCCACAACTTAACAACCATTTCTATATTAACCACACTAGAAATAAAGTATGAGTAATCATTCAAGTTAGGCTAAATTACTCTTATATATGTTACTATATCAATTGTTTATAACAAACAAAACCTCAGATAAAATATATAACACAAAAATCATACAATAAAGCTATTTTAATCAGCAATAGCAATTAAAGTATAAAATTTAGAGGTTAAGAGAAGAAGAGCAAATCGAAATAAATCTAAAATAAATTCTTTTCTAAATATTAAAGACTTTGATTAAAATTTAAGGTCATAGTTTGTAATTGATCACATCAAAAAAATTAGTTCTTCATAACTCTAAAAATCAAACAGCACTGCATCAGAAAATGAGAAGCCATGGCTCAAGAAAATTGAAGGAAAGAAGAAGATAAACAGCTATTCGTCCACGTGCTCTTTTTCTATGCTAAAAGTCATGCGTGACCTCATGTGCGTCCAATAACAAATATAAAACCCAATAATTTGATGAAAATAACAAAACTATTATTAATAACTCTAAATGAAAACTACATTAGAAGACCCAAAAAAACATAAATAATTAAAATAAAGTTTTTAAAATTTGATTTTTAGCTTAATCTTCAAGTATGTCCATACTCTTATATCCAAAATAATCTTCATTAATATCTTCTAAATTTAATTTAGAAAATTTGCACAAATAAAATAAAATTAAATAGCAGCAAAAATGTCAAAGATATCATTTATATTTTAAAATTTAAGATTTAGTTAGTTAAAATCTCAAAATTAAAGATTGGCTAATAAAATCAAATAATATTCAAGTAAACTTAAACAGCCTCAAATAAATATTTAAAAGTCTAAATTAAAAGGATAAAAATATATAAAATTATCATTTATCAAACAACATTTTTGTCATAAATTTTAGGACTAAATTATATTCGATTTCTTTTGTTTTAAGAGTATATTCAGTTATATATCAATATACATTGTAAAAAGTTTCTTGTTAACTTAATTTTTCATAACGTACGAAGCAAACATATTCATGCCATAAAAAATGGGAAAAAACTTCTATATCATCCTTTTTAAGGCATCCTTTTATCTGAACAATAATTTCTTTTTTATCATGCATGCACTCAAACCACTTTTATTTTAAGGATATTTATCTATTATAAAAGTTGTTCAAATTGTATATTAATTCTTTTTATTGTAAAAATGTGCCAAAATAAACTAGTTTCATCAACATTTAAATAGCTTGCGGCAATAATTCTTTTATCCCCCTTTTTATTTTGAACACATGGAAAACATGCTCAATATATTAAATCAAATTATAAGAACTGTTCCATTCACAAACTTTAATAGCTTGACGCATCTTCTAATACACACCAAAAATTATTGCCTGATTATATATATATATATATATATTCTCATTGAACATGTAAAAGTTGGATGATAGATATGTTAATGCGAGCGAGATTCTATACATTTATGATTGTGATGAGTTTTTTTTTTAAAAAAAATAAATAAATTATGGTCTCTTTTTAATAAGTTGATTGAAGACTTATTAAGAGCCACACATAAACCTATATAGTTGGTCGTCATAATTAACATGTGGAATGAGCTTTCCAAGTAGAAAAAATTCATTTAATTATACCTAATCCAAATGATGAACAATGTCTTTTATTTACTATTCT